TTGCACACCGCCAAGCTGATGTTTCACCCGACAGTAGCACCCTCGGGACGTTGCCGGGTGTGCTTCCACCTGGTCGGGTTACCGCCGAACAAGAACCCCTCTTCTTCCTCTTTTTTGCCCCCTTCTCCTCCGCCCTGCTTCCTCGACGTTTTCCTCTTCTGCTCAATTTTCCTGTTGTAGCACGACATTTACACCCTCCTCCAGAATTTAGTCGTACTAAATTTCTACACCACGTTGATGCATCATCCCCCTTTTTTTTTTGTTCACGTCCCAGTGTTGATTCATCAGTTTGCGCATCACTTTCACACCCTGAACGTTTTTTATCTGGCCCGCACCCAGTTCACAATTTCAGGTACACCAGCACATCAGCTGCATTTCACTGCCGCCGGTAAAGCACGGCAGTTTGATACTTTAGACCCATGTTCCGGATAAAAAAAACAGGACGCGGGATGGCCAAAAAAACCTGCTTTTTGTGCAAGGCTCGTCAAATTATGAGGCGCTGGAGAAATGCAGCCTTCTGCGTTAAGTCCTTATTTCGAACTCTTTTTGTTCGCCTTCCGCCCATTGAAAAGCATGCGGCAAGGGCCTTAGAACGCGCCTGGTATCGCTGCGCCGCAGCGTTCTTCCGCATCAAAAAGTTCGTCTGCTTTCCTCGCCGTCACCATGGCAACGAACGCCGAATGAATAGAAGCACGCACGGTACCGCCGCGTGAAGCTAGCAACAGCTGACGCCATTTTTACGAATGCCGTCTGCTAGCCAAAGCCGAACGCGGTGTGTCAGATCAACCGCCTCCGCCGGTGCGCCGCTAGCAAAGACGACGAAGCTGAGACACGCCGACGGCGATCGAGCAAGCAACAACACCGCGGGACGGCTGCAGCGGCGGCATTTATTCGGATCAAAGGCCGCCTTCGCCGGTGCGCCGCTAGCAAAGACAACGAAGCTGAGGCACGCCGACGGCGAATGGGCGAGCAACAGCACCGCGGGACGACTGCAACGGCGGCATTTATTGGGATCAAAGGCGCGAAATAAGCAAGAACAATTTTTATTTGAATCATAACACCCGATATCCAAGTTGGGGACCACATACCTTTGCTGGGTCTTTCCTGTGAACTTTTTACAGAGACAGGGGGTGCCGCATTCAAAACACAGCTCCGTTTGCAAAATATGGGGGCCCTGAAGAGGACCGTTGAGACCGCTACCAGAACCTATAACTGACGTAACGAGCACTTGACGAGCGGTTGGCGCATAAGTCGTCTTTACGCATGCAGGCGGGTGACGGGCTCAGCGCAGCGGATCCCTCGAAGTCACCGGGGCCGTCAGAATCCTCGCCCTGTCTGCGTCGGGGCTCTAGATTTTGGCGGCCGCGGCGACGAACGACTGGAATCTATGAGTGTATCCGCGCCTTCTCTCTCCTCCAAAACATGAACTTTGCAAGGTGACCAGTGAAATGGTGGCTCTCGCGCCGTCCACGTGGAAGAGAGTTTTTGACGTGGGCCCAGGTGCCCTCCACCGTATTGGTGTGCGCACCAGTGTTCGGGTCGACAAAGTGCAGCTTGTGGTTAACGGTGAGGTGCGTGAAGCGAGCGTCATCTGCAAGCTTGCGATAGCCAGCCCAACAATCTGTGATTATTCTTGTTCCAGGGCGGACCCACTTGGCTATTAGCCCTTGCAGTGTTTTAGCGTCACGGGTCTCCACGGGAACAAAAAAGCAGCACCCGTTGCAACGCGCCACACCACCGAAAACCCACTGGCCAGGCCTTAAATACCTGCGATGGTACTTGTGCCGACCGATCATACTCTCGTCTAGTTCTACAGTCACGCCTTCGCCACCAATCATGTCTGAATGCTTACAGACGGCATTTACCACAACGTCCCGACAAAGGCTCGCCCAATCAGTTATTGTCTTACTTGCGATATCAGCCTCCCGCTGAATGACGGCGCACGGTAGGTTCTGGCATGCGGAGGATGATTTTCATGAGTTGGAGAAACGTCAGGTGCGTGCGATCCTTCGAAAAAGGAACCGCTCCGTACCGAGACCTCGCCCCGGCACTGAACTTTGACCGGCTTCCTCTTGGGCACCTCACGAGTCATCCACACACCGCAACCCCCCCCCCCCCTTCCCCCCCGTGTAGCCATCCGCAGATCTAGCGCGGACTTGCAGCTTGTCATCGCAGCTTCGCACTTTGGACACGCACGAAAACCCAGGAGCCAGGAGCAGGCCAACGCGCTGAAGCAAATTAATTGCTTCAAGAGGGTCTTTCATGGCGCCAAGAAGACGGCACAAGTTGAACGCCATGGCACTGCGATGCTCGCCTCTTGAAGAATAAAGCGCCGAAGGGGAACTGCGCGCTTCTTTGCATTTATTATATTTATTTCATCCGCCATTTTATACCTCGTGACACAATTCTAACAAACTCATTGGTTGATCTGTCGGACCACACCATCGCGTGACATAAAAAAAAAAGAAACGCCAAACGTATGTCCACGGACGGCATCGTCACAGAGAAGGGAGCAGTCGAACCCAACAACAAAATGAAGTAACAAAGTGAATAAAAATAAAAATAAAAAAATAAGAAGGGAGTCGTTGGAGTTTCGGACGGCGTCTTCTTTGATGAGAGGAGCTGCTCTGTCCAGAGCGGCCAGAGCAGCCGTGCTGCTCTGGCTGCTCGGAATGTTCCTTTTTTATTCTTTTTCTTACTCTACTGGGTGCCACGACCCTTATTTGAAGCTGATTTGTTAAAATAATAACAAACAACGCGTTGGAACGGAGGAGGTAGAGAGTCTTGGCGTCAGAATTTGACGTGGTAGAAAAGAAAAGAAAATAACGAATGCACAATACATACCGTATGCCAAGACCGTTATACTCCGCACTTGGCGAGGCCTTATGACGCAGCCGACGACCGTTAGGCTATTTATTTTGTTTCTTTAGATTTTTTATCGTGACGACTACTCCACTGTGCCTCGGAGTCTCCAGCGGAGATCCGGCAGTTTTTAATTATTATTATTATTATCGTTTGAAGGGTACTCCTTCTATGCTGCTTCGTTCCTGACGCCATAAAAATATGGGGCGGGATTACTTTGCACCACGTATAAAAAATTAAAAAAAAGGCATAAAGACGACTTATGCGTCAACCGCTCGTCAAGTGCTCGTTACGTCAGTTATAGGTTCTGGTAGCGGTCTCAACGGTCCTTTTCAGGGCCCCCATATTTTGCAAACGGAGCTGTGTTTTGAATGCGGCACCCCCTGTCTCTGTAAAAAGTTCACAGAAGAAACCCAGCAAAGGTATGTGGTCCCCAACTTGGATATCGGGTGTTATGATTCAAATAAAAATTGTTCTTGCTTATTTCGCGCCTTTGATCCCAATAAATGCCGCCGTTGCAGTCGTCCCGCGGTGCGGTTGCTCGCCCATTCGCCGTCGGCGTGCCTCAGCTTCGTCGTCTTTGCTAGCGGCGCACCGGCGGAGGCGGTTGATCTGACACACCGCGTTCGGATGTGGCTAGCAGACGGCAAGCAGACGGCGTTCGTAAAATGGCGTCAGCTGTTGCTGGCTTCACGCGGCGGTACCGTGCGTGCTTCTATTCATTCGGCGTTCGTTGCCATGGTGACGGCGAGGAAAGCAGACGAACTTTTTGATGCGGAAGAACGCTGCGGCGTAGCGATACCAGGTGCGTTCTAAGGCCCTTCCCGCATGCTTTTCAATGGGCGGAAGGCGAACAAAAAGAGTTCGAAATAAGGACTTAACGCAGAAGGCTGCATTTCTCCAGCGCCTCATAATTTGACGAGCCTTGCACGAAAAGCATGTTTTTAGACCGGAGTTTGGAGATAGTTTTTTTTACAACAACATGGGTCTAAAGTATCAATGTGCCCAAATTTCCACCCTACCCCTTTTTGTCGATCAAACTCTGCTCAAGTAGTCCGCCCCGATATTGTCTTTGCCTTTTATATACTTAATCCTAAATGTAAACTCTTGCAGAGATAAACTCCACCTCATTACCCTCGCGTTGTTGAGTTTCGTCTTATTCAAATATTCTAGCGGTTGATGGTCCGTCTCAACTACGAATTCCTTTCCGTACAGGTAAATAGCATATTTACCAATTGCCCACACAAGTGCGAGGCATTCACGTTCTATAGCCGCAAAGTTCTTTTCGCTCGCGCTAAGTTTTCTACTGCCATATAACACTGGGTGCAGCATGCCCTCGTGCTCTTGCAACAGCACTGCTCCCAAAGCTTCGTCTGATGCATCCGTACGCAGGACAAATTGCTTAGACACATCGGGCGCTAACAAAATGGGTGGTTCTGCCAGCCTTCTTTTAAGCTCTTTGAAGCTTGTGTCATGTTCAGAGCACCATTCTACTGTGTTACTTTGTCCCTTCCTTGTGAGGTTAGTAAGTGGGGCTGCTATCTCTGCATAACGGGGCATAAACTCTCTATAATACCCTGTAAGACCTAGAAAGGCTCGCACCTGTTTTTTTGTCTTTGGCGTTGATGCTTGTTGAATCTTTTCTATTATTTCCCTCTTCGGTGCGATTTGGCCCATACCAAGCTTGTGACCTAAAAATGTTATCGCGTCAAACCCAACCTCACATTTGTTTGGCTTAACCGTGAGATGATTCCTCTTGAGACATTAAAAAATTTGCCGTAATGTTTGGCAGTGGTCTTCCCACGAGTCAGTGGACACCAAAATGTCGTCAATGTAATGATGTACATTGGGCACCCCCTCCAGGACGGACCTCATCAACTTGGTAAACACTGCAGCAGCCGTCTTCAGTTCGAAAGGCATAAACCGGAATTAGTAAAGGCCCGTTCTTGTAGAGAAGGCAGTCTTTTCTTTGGCTGATTCTTCCATCGGTATCTGCCAATACCCCTTCGCTAGATCCAATTTCGAAAAATATTTTTTTTGCCCGACTCTTGCAAACACTACGTCCGACCTTGGTATAGGTTCAGCGTCAGCCACTAAGACTGTGTTCAATCGCCGAAAGTCAACACAAAGCCTATTACAGCCATCAGGCTTTTTTACCATTATTATGGGTGCGTTGTAGGCGGACGTGGATCGTTCGATGATGCCTAATCTTAGCATCTCTTCCACTTCTTCTTCCATCTCGTCCTGGATGGCAAAAGGCAACGGATACTGCCTTACAAACACTGGCTCTTCTGTCATCAATCGAAGTTTGCATTGCAATGCATTTGTTCTGCCCGGTACGTCAGAGAATATATCTTCAAACTCCCCGATCGCGTCAGCAAGATTTTTCTTTTGCTTTTGACTTAATTTAGGATTGATGACCACATCCTGCGCACCCTGTTGCCTTTTTAGACTGGGCGTCGTGATCTCCCCTAAGTCTTCAACCTCATCCTGGACCACCATCACCCCACAACTTTCATTCTTAGTTTCGCGACCTACGTATTTTTGTAACATGTTTATGTGAAACGTTTTTCTTTTGTCGCCAACCAGCAGTTCGTAGTTTAAATCGCCTTTTCGCCTCGCAACTTCGTACGGTCCCTTCCACTGCATGGTTAGTTTGTTGTGGTCACCGGGTAGCAGTATGAGCACTCTGTCGCCTGGCTCGAACCTTCGAGCCTGGCTTTTCCGGTCATAGAACCTTTTCTGTTTTGTTTGTGCCTCCGCCATGATCTCATGCGCCACTTCACATGTTTTCTTCAGTTTGTCCTTGAGTTCGATCACGTATCCGTATGATGTTTTTAACTCCTGGTTTAAGCTTTTATTGGACCACAGCTCCTTAAGGATGGTCAAAGGACCTCTCACATTTCGCCCGTACAACATCTCAAATGGTGCGAATCTTAGCGACGCTTGTGGTACTCCTCTATAGGCAAAGAGGAGTGCCGGGATATACCTATCCCAGTCCGTGGGTCGTTCTTGGCTCATTCTCTTCATCATTTGCTTGATGGTACCATTAAATCTCTCTACGAGCCCATTACACATTGGGTGATATGGCGTAGTTAACAACTGCCGAAAGGATAATAGCCGTCCTATCTCTTTCATAAGATTGGAAGTGAAGTTCGTACCTCGATCACTCAGAATCTCCTTAGGTACTCCGTACCGGGAGAACATCTCGACTAGGGCTTCTGCCACCTGCGGGGTATCAATGGTTTTCAATGCCACAGCGTCCGGGTACCTCGTGACTACATCAACCATTGTCAAGATATATCGGTTTCCCTTGCTGGACTTCGGGGTTATTGGTCCAATGATATCTATCGCTACCCGATGGAAGGGTTCTTCAATTATGGGCATACTCATGATTGGGGCTTTTTTCACGGTGCCGTTTGGTATAGTGCGTTGGCACACATCACAAGACCGTATGTAACGTTTCACGTCGCCTTGCATACCAGGCCAAAAGAATTCTTCCGCTATTTTAGCGACCGTGCTCTTTACCCCCTGATGGCCCGACATTATTCCATCGTGAGCCAATTCCATTACAGTCTTTCTAAATACCGTTGGTACAATGAGTTGGTGTCTCACGTCCCCGTCGCTGAATTCGACTCGGCGGAACAACAAATCATCCTTCACGACGTATTCCGTTGTTACGTCACATCTCCATTTCCGCACTCGTTTATTCAGACTTCTAAAACAGCTCTGCAGACTCTCATCCGACTTTTGCTGCCCCGTTAATTGAAGAGCTGTGACTTCTAGCAGCTCTATAACCGGCGCCTTGAGCTGGGGCAATTGTTTCTCTTCACTTTTGTCCGTTCTTTTTGCTCCTGCTGCAAATGACACCTCGTTATGAATCTGCTCTGCATTCAACGCCTCCTTTTCCCCGATTTTTTGCAGTAGTCGGTCGTTCTCAGCATGTGATGTAACGCTGTTCAATGAATTAGACGGCGTTTCGCCAAACACTTCATCTCCCTGGTGACGCATTTTCTTCGTACTTGTGCCCCACCCTGAATCCGGGCAGTCCACTTTTCTAGCCCCTGGGATGTTACCCAGTATGAGGTCATACAGCGGTTCTTCTATGCATTTGGCACGTACTTCCCCCGTGTAATAAGGTGTATCTATGTTGATTATCGCTTCAGGCATAACCCTCATGGTGCCGTCAACCAGGATAACCCCAGTGGACGTCCCTGTGAACTCCTCACTTCGTACCAGCCTTTTTCTTACTAGTACTGTGTTGGTTCCACTATCTCTCAGCACTGATATCTTAATATCATGTAACCTCCCTTCGACCACCGGCATCAATATGTCGATATTGTGTACTAAGTAAGCGTCAGTAACATGTTCAAATCTTGTATTTGTTATCGCTCCCTGCTGTTCTTTGTTGTCCCTCTTTAATGCCTTCTGTCTTTTATCCAGGACACACGCTGCTTTGTTCTGTGAGTGATTGGCGCACTGCCCAGCTTTGTGTCCCATTTTGCCGCACTCCCAGCATCGTACTCCTGCCTGATTTTCTCTATATCCGCTTCTGCAGTCAGTTGCCTTATGCCCAACCTTACTGCACAGAAAGCATCTAGGCGATGGTCTTCGGGCTCCTCCCGTTTGTCCAGTACCCTTACTGTTCTCGCCGTCTGGTCTCACTGTTGTACAACCCCCATCTTTCATAGCACCCAGATTACATTTTCCCTGGGCTTCCAGGTACTGGTCAGCTAGCTCTGCCATTTCTTGCGCTGCGTTCACGTTACGTTCTTTTAGAAAAATGGCCAGCTTAGGGTGACAGCAACTAAGGAACTGCTCGGCAATCACCCTGTCCCTCACTGCCTCGAACGTCTTCTCTGTCTGCGCCATTTCGAGCCACCTATCAAAATAATTACTCAATCTGGTACAGAATTGTCGTCCAGTTTCTGCCTCCTCCGGCTTGCTTCGTCTGAACTTTTCTCTAAAACCGTCTGCAGTTAGTCTGAATCGTTGGAGCAAGGTGATCTTAACCTTCTCATAGTCTAGGGAGTCAGCTGCTGTCATCCTCCCGAATGCGGTTAAAGCTTCACCCACCAGGCAAAGACTGAGGGACGTCGCCCATTCCTCCTTCGCCCATCCTTGTCCTACCGCAATCCTCTCAAATCTATGCAGGTAGGCATCTAAGTCATCGCGTTTCTCGTCAAAGGGCGGCATCAATTTCTTCAAGCACGCTCGTCCTCTTGACTGACCTTCGCTCCCTCCGTCTGTTGTCGCTCCACTGGCGCGTTGTGTTTCCGCAAGCTTGATCTTAAGCTCTATCATAGCGATCTCATGTGCCGCTTTCAGTCTGGCGTCCTCCCTCTCCCTCTCAGCCTTCTGCTGTTCCCTCTCATGTTCGAGTTTGGAATCTTCTCTAGCGTGCACTCTCTCCTCTCTCTCACGCTTTCTTTCCTCCTCCAGAAGATGCAACGCTTCCTCTTTTGTTAGTCCGAGGGAGCTTCCCAAAGCCATTATCTTTTCAAAATCCATTTCAAACTTGTTGGGAACCGTTCACCGGTACAACTGGTTTTCCTCACTCTGCGGTTTGTATCCTGGCAGGCTCGCCAAATTGTGATGTTATAGGTTCAGGTCAAACCGCCGAAGGAGGAATTCAGTCACACCGTGAGGTTTGATCAAGATATATATATATTAAAAAAAAATTAACAAAAAATAAGAAACGTTCTAGCTATACACAAATATACAGGTCAGAAATTGTCTCACTTTCAGTCCGTCCTTGTGTGGCTGAAGGTCTTGGTGCTGTCTTGTTTTCAGCAGCGCTTGGTTGTTGGTGCGTGTTGTTCCTTGTTGATCGTCTGGGATGCTCTGCTCCGGGACACCGCCGAAGTCGTTCCCCGTGATGTTCCTTGGGTGTTCCTTGAGGCTGGTCTGGGATGTTCTGCTCCGGGACACCGCCGAAGTCGATAATCTTTCCCACCAGCGGCTACTTCGGATCACTGCCGAATGCCTCGTTCATGTCGGATGTTGCCGCTTTGGTTGCACACCGCCAAGCTGATGTTTCACCCGACAGTAGCACCCTCGGGACGTTGCCGGGTGTGCTTCCACCTGGTCGGGTTACCGCCGAACAAGAACCCCTCTTCTTCCTCTTTTTCGCCCCCTTCTCCTCCGCCCTGCTTCCTCGACGTTTTCCTCTTCTGCTCAATTTTCCTGTTGTAGCACGACAGCTATCTAGTGTTGTATGTGACAGCGAAATTTTTTGTTGCGAGAAGCGTTTCTCTTTTTATCGATGCGATAGGCTATCTAGGCGTGGTGGTGGTGTCATAATCGCGGCAAATGATAGCATTGAGTCTTGTCTTATCAACATTGTTACATCTCTTGAGTTTATTGGCGTGCGCTTGCGTTTTAGCCATAAACAGGTCATTTGGTGCGCGTGCTACCGTCCTCCCAATGCCACAGCAAACTTTTTTATAGATTTACACGATGCTCTGAATACAATTCGTACAAGGTTTCCGGCCTTGCCTTTGTTTCTTTCGGGCGATTTTAATCTGCCCGGCATTGACTGGTCTGGTCTATATCCTACCATATCTTCAAATTCTGCTGCGTGTTCCGAGTCTTTAAGTCTCTGCTCCGATTTTTCGTTAACGCAGATAGTTACTAGGCCGACTCGTGTTACGGCAACTTCTGAGAACGTGCTGGACCTTATTCTTTCTACCGCGCCTGATCTTCCGTCCTCCCTTACGTATTTACCTGCCATCAGCGATCACTGTTTACTCCACTTTCACCTAAGTGCCCCTGTATCTGCCTTCGCAAAAGCGAAGAATAACTCTTTTCTTGATTATGGCAAAGCTGATTTTGAGGGTATAAACCGCGAGTTAGCGCAATTTCTTGACTTTTTCCTATTCAATTTTTCCGAACGCTCTGTCGAGGTTAATTGGACAATGTTCAAAAATAAAGTCAATTCCCTTATCAATTCTTGAGTCCCACGTCGCTTTCTTACTGATAGCTCCACGTCCTCATGGTTTAATAATGCCTTGAAAAAACTTTCAAATAAAAAGAAACGCCTGTTCCGCACTGCTAAGCGTGATAAGTGTAATAACGAAAACGGCTTGACATAACAAAAATAACAATTTAATTAAACGTTTCGCCTCCCATGCGGGAGGCATCTTCAGTAGAGCACAGAGCGAGTGAGAGTCGCACAATAAAGTTCGGCTATTTAGGCATAAAAAAACTAACACAACAAACATACGCACGGACCCACTTCCTTTCCAGCCGGTCGCAAAAAAGTGGGTCCGTGAGTTTGTTTTGTTCAAGGTCCCAAGTATTCGTTTGGGATTGAGGTCACTGTTTAAGGTTGAGGTGAAGATTCTTCTGGGTAGTTTTGTATAACGAAGGTTGACTTTGTGACGTCGGTGGTTGGTGATTAGGTTGTGGATATAAAAAAACTTTGAGGAAATAAATGCAGTAGCTGAGTTTGAGATGTTCTTTTCCCCTGTCCTTTTTTCTTCGACCAAGTTTCCCAGCTTTTACCACAGTCTCGGGAATTCCACATCATGATAAACAATAAATAGCCGGCGAATGTTTCCTAAAAGCTTTGTTAAATAATATTCCGATCCACATTTTATAGCATAATTAGAGATCTGATAAAAATTGCCTATTTCGGTAGTGTTCAGAGCCAAGCGCCATCTATCATGTGGTAAACGAATCAAGAGAAAGACCCTACTGAGCTTGCGCAGTCAATCCCCGAGCATCGTCTGCTGAACGGGTTTGCTCCTGGTCGCGCTTTCTTCGCGGAGCATACTTTCGTTTTGTGGCTGCACGGGTAGTGTTTACGTCGTTTGTGATCGATCGCTCGGTGGCTATGCCGAGAAGCTGCAGTGTACCGAAGTGCCCGAATTACAGTTTATGCAGTCCGGTAGTTAAAAAAATGAAAGCCCTTTACAACTACCTGTAACGCCGAATGAGAGGAGGAGGGGAAGATACGGAGAGGGGGCTATGCCCCTCCTCCTCAACTGCTCGCCTGCCATTTAGGGGAGAAGTTTTCCCCGCTAAATTTAGCGGGAAAATTTTTCCGACAGGTAAAGCGGGAAATTTTTCCGCTAAATTAAGCGGGTAAAATTTTCTGCTAGATTTAGCGGGGAAATTACCCGCTAAACTTAGCAGAGAAAATTTTCCGCTGAATTTAGCGGGGAAAATTTTCCGCTAAACTTAGCGGGGAAAGTTTTCCGCTAGAATTAGCGGGGAAAATTTTCTTCTAAACTTGGCGGGGACAATTTTCCGCTAAATTTAGCGGGGAATCTTTTCCGATAGATTTAGCGGGAAACATTTTCCGCTCAGTTTAGCTGGAAAAATTTCTCGCTAGATTTAGTGGGGACGATTTCCCGCTAGATTTAGCGTGGAAAGTTTCGCGCTAGATTAAGCTGGAAAAATTCTCTGCTAGATTTAGCGGGGAAAATCACCCACTAAATTTAGCTGGGAAAGTTTTCCGCTAAACTCAGCCGAGGAATTTTTCCACTGGATTTAGCGGGGGAAATTTTCCGCTTAATTTAGCGGGGAAACTTTTGCGCTCAATTTAGATGGGAAAGTTTTCCGATAAATGTAGTGGGGGAATTTCCCGCTAGATTTAGCGGGGAAAATGTCCGCTAAATTTAGCGGAGAAAATTTCCCACTAGATTTCCGGGAAAAATTTCCCGCCAAATATAGCGGGAAAAATTTCGCGCTAGATTTAGCGGGGAAAATTTCGCGCTAGTTTAGCTGGAGAAATTTCCCGCTCGATTTTGCGGGGAAAACGTTCCGCTAAATTTAGCTGGGAAAGTTTTCCGCTAAATTTAGGGGGGGGGGGGAATTTCCGGTAGAGTGTTTGAGGGAAATTTTCCGCTAGATTTAGCGGGGAAAATTCCCGGCTCAGTGGCGTACCAACTTGTTTTTGAGTGGGTGGGCAAACCAGACCCTCTCCCCCCCCCCAACTCGAAAATTCGGCGCAACTTTTGTCCAACTTTTCTAAAGATTTGGCAATGATTCGGCAAAATTACAACGTTACCAGACTTAACATTGATATTTTGTTTTTTCTCACGAAAAAAATTTTGCTTCTTCTTAAAATAAATACAACTTGTATTGCCTATTGAAAGAGTTATGACTAAATAAGGTGATATTCTAGAAGATAATTGTATCGATGTCGCTTTTGTGTGTTTACTTGTAATTTTGGTGTATGCTTCCAGAAAGTGGCGTGACAACGAGGTTGGGTAGTAGCCGGCACAGTCACAAATCACACTACGAGAGCTTTGATTTTGAGGCTTCATCAGCGCACGCCTGCAAGTGTGTTTACATAAAGGCATAATAAAGGCAATCGCTGCGTTCTTACTTTCTCTCGTAGTCGCCGTTTCGTGCGCGAAAACGGATGCAACGGTTGCTGAGCCTTCACCAGAAGAGATAACAATATTGTAAATATGCATGTTTTTCGATTTGAGTCACTTGACGTCAGCTTTGCATGAAAGTGCGCGTTCCATATTCGCAACGTGCCGTTTTTAACCTTTAAAATTCCGGTTTCTGGTGTTCGGACATACACGGACGTTTAGGAAGATGGGGAGAGTTAGGAATGGTCGGATGTGCAACGTCGACCATGATAGTTCTGTGTTTAACGAATATTTTTCATCAGTGTTTACTAACGAGTGCTTGGACTCCGTCCCCACTCTCCCTGAAGAGCTTTACGAGCGCATGCATCCTATTAACGTTAACTCCGCCGGTATTATAACATTGATTGATAAACTAAAACTTACTTCGTCCGCTGGAACCGATAACATCAACTCTAAAATTTAAAAGAAACACCAGTGTTATTTCGAGTGAGTATTTAAAACTTATCTTTATTCAGTCCTTATCTCAAAGGTGCCTTCCATCTG